CTTGTAAACAGGGATTCACTGGAGATGGAACAGTTTGTGAAGGTATACGGCATGAATGAAAGACCTTCAACAGTTCGTATTAACTGTGTTTTACGCTCATTCCTTCCCCTGTCGTGTTTATTGTTTGCGACGCTCACGTGAAGGAATCTGATTCGCATTTAAACTCACTACATTTCCAGAGTTATTTGCAGACATTACTACACCAGGGCCAGGTTTTTCATTAAAATTAGCGCGACTTTGATTTCAGATTTGTAACTTTTCAGTGAGGTTTTCTGTTTATATCTTTTTTCCTTTTGTTTTGGCTTTAACCAATCATTTTACACAACATTAGCAGAGAAAATATAGCTTAGCTTTCTAACAACCAGACCCAGGTCTTTACATATATTATCAAGACAATTTTCACACGCCCTTGCAATGAATAATGCTTCCGTATTCAATTCTCATCAGATATCGACGAGTGTTCTGCGGATTCCAGGTCGTGTGACGATAACGCTGATTGCACCAACAGTGACGGTTCTTACAGCTGTACTTGTAAACAAGGTTTCACTGGAGATGGAACAGTTTGTGAAGGTATGGAGGATATTAATACAACACAACTCCAACTCTTTATCACAGAATCAAAGTAATTTCCCTTGGAAAGCCGTCAACTAAATAATGATTCCTTTTCTATCTCATCAGACTTAGATGAGTGTTCTGCGGATTCCAGTCCGTGTGATGTAAACGCTGATTGCACCAACAGTGACGGTTCTTACAGCTGTACTTGTAAACAAGGATTCACTGGAGATGGTGCATCTTGCAAAGGTACACAAGACCAAAATGCTCCCTACACCTGCTACAGGGAAGAGTCATGAAAAAAGTACCCAATGACTCGAGTAATTGTTTCAAAGGCTTGATTTTATGGAAGGTGTCCTCGTTGTGTATTACTTTACTTGTCTCCGTGTCGTCTTTCGTTCCATAGCGTTAAAACTTGTTGTATGGAACTCTTATTTTATCTTGTTGGAACTGGTATCATGACCTGTCTAAACTGCGTTGGTTTGTAAACGTTACCCTTTTCTTTCACATTAGATATCAATGAGTGTGCTCCAGATTCCAACCCTTGCGATGAAATGCAGTCTGCACTAACACTGACGGTTCTTCAACCTGTACTTGTAAACAAGGATTCACTGGAGATGGAACTGTTTGTGAAGGTAAACACAGTGGATTTTTATTTGGAATCAAATAACACTACACTGGCCCGGTTGTTCGAAAGCCGATTAACGCTAATCCAGGAGTGAAAGTTAATGAAGCTTTTAATTTCTCTTGTATAAAAGTTTTTTCTCTTCTAATGTTTAGTAAAGTTTGAGATTAGTCAAAGTCAAAACAGAAAGAAAAAAATGTAAACAGAAAACCTCACTGAAAAGTTACAAAACTGAAATCAAAATTCGCGCTAATCCTGGATTAGCTTAATCGTCCTTTGAACAACCGGGCACTGAGGAGATTCGGGAGGTCTTCTGATTCTCCGTTAATCAAACATTTCCTTTTACCAATACGACAGATATCAATGAGTGTTCTGCGGACTCCAGTCCGTGTGACAAGAATGCTGATTGCACCAACAGTGACGGTTCTTACAGCTGTACTTGTAAACAAGGATTCACTGGTGATGGGGCAACTTGTAAAGGTATGATCGTATGCAAGCTCAGTAAATACGCCAACAGTTTAAGTAACTATTTTTTTCTCTATTACATTAGATATTGATGAGTGTTCTGCGGATTCCAGTCCTTGTGATGAAAACGCTGATTGCACCAACAGTGACGGTTCTTATAGCTGTACTTGCAAACAAGGGTTCACAGGAGATGGAACAACTTGTGAAGGTATACTAGAATAAATTTATACTTACAGCATCGACAGTGACTCACGTCTCACGAAACAACACGGGCTTGATTTCAGGGAAATTCGGTGTCCTCGTTACGTATTACTTTTCTTCTCTGTGTGTATTTCTCCTTTCCATAGTAGCGTTTGTTGTATTGAATCCTTAATTAATATTGATGGAACTTGTACCATAACTTGTCTAAACTGCGCTGCTTTTATAACATTTTCCTTTTTTTCGCCGATTAGATATCAATGAGTGTGCTCCAGATTCCAACCCATGTGATGAAAATGCAGTCTGCACTAACACTGATGGTTCTTCAACCTGTACTTGTAAACAGGGATTCACTGGAGATGGAACTGTTTGTGAAGGTAAACACAGTGGATTTTTATTTAAAACCAAGCAACACAACATGCATTAATCAAATATTTCCTTTTACCGATACGACAGATATTGACGAGTGTTCTGCTGAGTCCAGTCCGTGTGACGAAAACGCGGATTGTACAAACAGTAACGGTTCTTATAGCTGTACTTGTAAACAAGGATTCACTGGAGATGGAAAAGTTTGTGAAGGTATGGAGGATATTAATACAACACTACTCAAAGCAATTCCCCTTGGAAAGCTATCGACTAAGTAATAATTCCTTTTCTATCTCATCAGACTTAGATGAGTGTTCTGCTGATTCCAGTCCATGTGACGAAAACGCTGATTGCACCAACAGTGACGGTTCTTACAGCTGTACTTGTAAACAAGGATTCACTGGAGATGGAACAGTTTGTGAAGGTACTATACAAGACTAAACGTCTCGCTACAACTGCCACAGTGACGTCGGACAACACGGGCTTGATTTCAGGGAAATTAGGTGTCCTCGTTACGTATTACACTTTTTTTCTCTGTGTCGTCGTTCCTTTCATAGCGTTAAAGCGCTTGTTGTATGGAACCCTTGTGTATATCTTTATGCAACTGGTTTATGACTTGCCTAAACTGCGTAACCTTTTTTCATTTCTTTCGCATTAGATATCAATGAGTGTGCTCCGGATTCCAACCCTTGTGATGAAAATGCAATTTGTACTAACACTGATGGTTCTTCAAGCTGTACATGTAAACAAGGATTCACTGGTGATGGCCTAGTATGTCAAGGTATGCGAGAATTAAAGACCTTCAACAGTCCGTATTAACTGTGTATAACGCACATTACTTCCCATGCCTGTTTGCGACGCTCACATGATGGACTGAATTTGATTCTCATTCAGCTTTAAACTCGCTTAATTTGCAGACATTTTTTCTTATCGAAGCCAAGAAAGTATGACTTCACATAATCTTGATCAGGAAAACGTATTAAAATTAACTTTCAACACACTGATCTGCATACGCGACTTACAAAACTACAATTCTCGTTATAAATCTTGGGACACTTCATATTTTCGACGACAAGTGTTCGTTGTCTTCGCCTCCCCCTCCCCACCCCCAATGCAGTGTTGATTTTTATTTCTCCAATCTTGCGACCATATTTCAACATTGTTTTGGGGGGCAGGGGGGTTCCACAAATTGAATACTGACTTCTCACTTCAAACAACATTGCCACTGGGTAGTATTTTTGGTTTCGTCTAAGACCTCGTCATTTGGTCGCTTTATAAGATTTGATATGGCGACCAACTGACGAGGTCTTAGACGAAACTAGTTTTGTAAGTCGTGTATGCAAATCAGTGTGTTCAAAGTAAATGTAAATGAGGTTTTCCTGATCAAGAATTTGCAGACTTTACTACACCAGCGTTATCCACCCTTTGAATTCGAGAAGGTGGAAGACATGGCCGTCTACCGGATAATTTGCTACCCAGTGTATATGTGTTAACAAAACCAACTACGCTATCCACTGGATAATTGAACAACTGGGTCCAACTCTTTACATAATCAAGACAATGTCATAATCCCTTGCAATGAATAATCTTTCCGTATTCTATACTCATCAGATATCGATGAGTGTTCTGCGGATTCCAGTTCTTGTGACGAAAATGCTGATTGTTCCAACAGTAACGGTTCTTACAGCTGTACTTGTAAGCAAGGATTTACTGGAGATGGAACAGCATGTAAAGGTAAGCCAGACTCTTTCTGAAATTTTCCCAACTTCGTCTTTGATCAATCTCTTGCATAAAATGCTTGTATAAGCTGATTTCTCTTTTCTATCACATCAGATATTGATGAGTGTTCTGCAGACTCCAGTCCGTGTGACAAGAACGCTGATTGCACCAACAGTGACGGTTCTTACAGCTGTACTTGTAAACAAGGATTCTCTGGTGATGGCGCATCTTGTAGCGGTATGCGATACTCTGTCTTATTTCCCCCAGATACGTCTTTACAGTCTTTACATTGAAAAGTCACTAAATGAATATAGCTGTAGTCGGCCTTGCTGTATCTGATGTGCTAACGTGTTCAGTTGTTGCGCCGTTTACCATCGCTGTTGTACGTCGTGGCAGCCCGATGGTTGTTTGACGATGTTGTCTGTACGTTTCAAGCACTGGCGTCGTATGCTCTTACAGGCGTCTCGCTGTATCTTATGGCTTTGATTGCCGGCATTAACCGGTATTACTCCCTCGTTAAACCTGATAAATACCGTGCAATTGTTTTCTCGCAATTGTTTTCATCACGATGTTGATCTTTGTCATTTCCATATGGATCGCTGGTTTTGGCATAGCGATGGTTCTGTATTCATTCAAACTATTTTAATTTTACTAGCTTCAATCCTTTCAAAGCGACCCGTGTGTTGTACATGACCCCAATAAAAAATGCTGTAATCCTGACCTATCTGGTCAATTACACAACCATCGCTGCCATCATGATCATACCCTTATCCGTTTTTATTGTTTTCTATGCGAAGATCTTCTTTAATGTTAGACATTACCAATTCAATGTCGCTCCGACAAGGCAAAACCCTTAACTCTACGCGTCCAGTTTATGTTCAATAGCAGTCGAACTCAAAATGACTCGAGCCGTGTTTGTAATTTGGTTCGTATATCTTTTATATGAGAAGTAGATATATGAAATAACATATATTTGAACTTCGGGTGAAATATTTAACACTCGAAAGACCATCGCTTCTATATCTTCTTCTTCCACGGGTGTATTACGAACTCACAATATGACCAGCTCCCAGTTGGCGTGATAGCTCAGTTGGTAGAGCATTGTACCGGTATCGCAGAGTCATAGGTTCGAATCCCGTTCAAGCCTGCGGGGTTTTTTTCAGGCTTCCTTTTCGCAACTGCTTTAGTTAGGTAAGTACTGTAACTGTGATGGTCTTTCATGTATTAAATTTATCTTTTATGTAGGATTCCAGTTATTGTCATCGGCATGCTCTTTAATTCATTGCACGCTTGGTATAAAACCTATGTCGACCTCTGGATTGGGATTTCTTAGCAGTGTCACAATCCGTGGATTATTTCAATCATGAACACAACATTTAGCAGAGAAATCCTCGTGATCCTACGGCAGTCCGTGTCTTCTTCCATTTCACAGCGATGAAGCACCTTACGTTTGTCGGCAGAAGTGGTATCATGACCTATATCTAAACCACGTTGTTTTTATAATCTTCTTCCTTTTGTATTACATCAGATATCAATGAGTGTGCTCCAGATTCCAACCCGTGCGATGAAAATGCAATTTGCACTAACACTGACGGTTCTTCAACCTGTACTTGTAAACAAGGATTCACTGGAGATGGCATAGTTTGTCAAGGTATGGGAAAATGAAAGACCCGCAGGAGCTGCACGTAATGCACACATTACTACCCATGCCCTATTGTTTGCAAGGCTGACATGATGGAATTTCAATCATGCATATTTAGCTTCAAAAACACTTAAAGTACAGACTTACTTGCAAATATTGCTACACTAGGTTTTTTGCATAATCAAGACCATGTCCTCATAATAGTTCACTTTTCTATTCTCTAATCTATTTCTATTTTCCATTTCCTATTCTGATTACCAATAGTGACATTTCTATCATAATTTAGGGAGAGTTTACAAAAACGGACGAAATGATCATTTCTTCTTTCAATTCATTATATCAGATATCGATGAGTGTTCTGCGGATTCCATTCCGTGTGACAAGAACGCTGACTGCACCAACAGTGACGGTTCATACAGTTGTACTTGTAAACAGGGATTCACTGGAGATGGAACAGCCTGTGCAGGTATATACGAAGTTATAGTTCAAAACAAGGCAAGGTCTCGAAAAAGCCGTGTAATAAATAATGCTCCATGTTTTATAACATCTAGATATCGATGAGTGTTCTGCGGATTCCAGTCCGTGTGCCAAAAACGCTGATTGCACCAACAGTGACGGTTCTTACAGCTGTACTTGTAAACAAGGATTCGATGGAGATGGTACAGTTTGTGAAGGTATGGTATATTGAGAAAGATATTATTCAGTTAGTGACACAAGCTGCTCGGTAAAAATTTCCGAGTTCTCCCAACAGGAATCGAACCTATGACCTTCAGCACACCGGTCGAATGGTCTACCTGAGAGGTTAGGCCATATAACTAGGTTCAAATGTGACAGACATCCCACATACTGCTTGGATTAGATTATGATATGTTGCCGGTTTAAAACCATCTATGTGCCTTGGAAACAATTAACGAATTAATTAACGAATTTATTTCCATTACATCAGATTTTGATGAGTGTTCTTTGGAACCCAGTCCGTGTGACAACAACGCTGATTGCACCAATAATGACGGTTCTTACAGCTGTACTTGTAAACAAGGATTTACTGGAGATGGAACGACTTGTGAAGGTATATGCAAACCATCGTTACAGAAATAATAGCACACCTGGCCTTCACAGAAACAACATGCGTTCTCCATATAAAACCTTGCAATGAGTAATGTTTACTTGTTCTGTCACATCTATACTTTAGATATCGACGAGTGTTCTGCGGACTCCAGTCCGTGTGATAAGAACGCTGATTGTACCAACAGTGACGGTTCATACAGCTGTACTTGTAAACAAGGATTCACTGGAGATGGAACAACCTGCACAGGTATTTCCTAATTGATGATTTCAGATCATCATCATCATCATTATCGCTCCTCACGCCAGTTGGCGCATAAGACCTCAACATTCTGCTTCCATGCCACCCTGTCCCTGGCTACTGCTCTTACAGTGTTCCAGTCGTTCCATCCTGCCGGCCGTCTCTCTACTTCCACTATCCTCCTCCAGGTCGTTTAAGGTCTACCCACTGCCCTTTTACCCTCTGGTCGCCATCCTAACGCCACCATACACTAACAGTCACTTGATGTCTCTCCACGAAGTATATGTCCAATCCAATTTCAGTATGGAATGGACTTTTTAGTCGTGGGTTGCTAAATTAGCCAGTAGAAAGATAATTTTAGTTCAACAACACTGTGTTAGCAGCAAACCAAGGTGCTACATATAGCGACACATAAACAATTGACCTCATCGCCTGATGAAGACTAGCAGTAAAGCAGTCGAAACGTTGCGATCAACACCTCAAAGTGACTCCATCATGAGACAAATGATTAAACGTTCATCTACATCTATTTAATGAACCACGATGAACAATAACCACATATTTTATAACATCAACACTGTGTTCTTTTGAATAATTTATTTTCCATTCAAATCAGATATCGATGAGTGTTCTGCGGATTCAAGTCCGTGTGACAAGAACGCTGACTGCACCAACAGTGACGGTTCTTACAGCTGTACTTGTAAGCAAGGATTCGATGGAGATGGCGAATCTTGTAAAGGTATGCGGATCGTATATTGTTAAAAACCGTCCATGCGTCTTTGAAAAAATTACCTGAAGTTATAATTAAAATTATTTTCCTTTAAATTACATCAGATTTTAATGAGTGCTCTTTGGAACTCAGTCCTTGTGACGAGAACGCTGATTGTACCAACAGTGACGGTTCTTACAGCTGTACTTGTAAACAAGGATTCACTGGAGATGGAACGACTTGTGAAGGTATATCCGAGGGAGTTTTTTTAAAGAATAATATAAGATCCTAGTTGTTCATGGCAGGATTAATCGAACTGAGGATTATCTCCATATTTGGATTAAATTAATGAGTAATCAATAAAACTATCCGTTATTGGTTGTCCTTTTATTTTTATTTTCCCTTTTGACTATTCTAAAGTGAAGAAGTGATCCTCGCAGTTGAATTTACAATTTAAGCAATTGCAAAGAAGCCTGAAAAACATCAGGGCTCCAACATTAAAAAAGTGAACGTTAAGAATAAACCTCGGTTAACTTTTAATCCCTGGTGAACGTTAATCAGCCTTTGAATAACCATGGCCAGGACGCTACAATTGATACAATCAAGACTAGTTCACCATAAAGTCATGCAGCGCCGAATAACTTTCCCTGTTCTACCACCTTAGATATCGACGAGTGTTCTGCGGATTCCAGTCCATGTGACAAGAACGCTGATTGCACCAACAGTAACGGTTCTTACAGCTGTACTTGTAAACAAGGATTCACTGGAGATGGAACAGTTTGTGAAGGTATACCAGGAGATCGTGTAAAAAAAAGCTACGCTACTGTGCACTTTACAAAATCAAGACCGATAACTGTATAAATACTCTATGTAACTTAATGTCTGCCCATTCTTTTTAGCCCCTATTGTTATTTTGGGCAGGCCGTACCCTCTACTTTTATCAAATATAAATTGTAATTATTCCTGTCCTTTCTGGGTACAAATAAATGGTTGTTGTTGTTGTTGTTGTCAAGTAGTATGGTTGCAGGTACGTTTGACGTAAATGGAGTAACTTACTATTTCCTTCTCCATGTCATCAGATATCGACGAGTGTTCTGCGGATTCCAGTCCGTGTAATGATAACGCTGATTGTACCAACAGTGACGGTTCTTACAGCTGTACTTGTAAACAAGGATTCGATGGAGATGGGTTACTTTGCAAAGGTGAAAATGATTGTTGTTAAAAACCTCCCTCTCGAGTCGCGAGAGATTCTGTGTTGTGCGCATAAAAAATAATTCGTTTCTTTTGCATCAGATTTCGATGAGTGCTTTTTGGAACCCAGTCCGTGTGACGAAAACGCTGGTTGCACCAACACTGACGGCTCTTACACATGCACTTGCAAACAAGGATTCACTGGGGATGGAACAGTTTGTGAAGGTATGCAATAATGTTCCAAACATCTAACGACTCTCTCGCAACATTAATATATTATGGCTGTAATACAATTTGATTGAGACAACAAATTCCGTATCCCACCCTGATTTCAGACTTTATATGCATCAAGTGTGGAAGAGACTGCCACACCAGAGTCGGTCTACTAAGCACTATGGGATGCCTACTACGATTTAATTTTATATAACCTGATTAAAGAATCTATGATGTTGATGATACACCTTCTGCAATTTGGCCAACCGTATTCTTCAGGTTCGCCGCTTCTATTCCGCCTAAATCTTCTCCCAATTTTAGCCATCCGTCTTATTCCGTGTTGTTTTATTGTAGTTATTTCCTCTTTGGTGATTTTCTACTTAGTAAACTTATTTTTGGTACCGTTTGATTTGAAGGAACTGTACATCGATATTGCACACAGTCCATACTACCCAAACACCGTGTATTGGTTTTTCTCGATATATTTTGTCGTTCTGTAGGGTCGTGTTCTATTGGGATCAACCGTTTCAACCGCAACCGGTTTAGGTTCAAACGGTTGAGGTTTCCCAATAGAAAACGTTTCCAACCGTTTTCGGTTGAAACGGTTGCAACCGTTTCAACCTAGTTTTTGATGCCTTGAAAAAGTTGATCAACCAAACCAACCTAAAACGGTTTTTTCCCAATAGAACACGAAAAGCCCCAACCAACCTAAAACGGTTGATCCCAATAGAACACGACCTAGGATTCACATAATCATGTTTTGTTGAAAAGGCGCGCTTTTATAGTTTCATCCACTCTTGAGTCATTGTATTGAAGCCAAGGAAAGCCAAACCAAACTTCAAACAAACACAAAATAATAGAGCACCGGGGTTTTTCGTTTCGTTTTAATATTATTAAGTCGTTTCTTTCTTATTGTATCCGACAGATATCAATGAGTGTTCTGCGGATTCCAGTCAGTGTGACAAGAACGCAGATTGCACCAACAGTAACGGTTCTTACAGCTGTACTTGTAAACAAGGATTCACTGGAGATGGAACGACTTGTGAAGGTATGGAGGATATCAGGGGCGGATCCAGGAATTTTAGA